GAGAGATATTTTTGGCCTAGGATGTGATCAATATTAGAGAATGTTTCATGAGCTACTTACAAGAATATATTCAGTAATTTAGGGGTAGAATGTTCCATAAATGTCTGGTAGGCCCATTTGTTGTAGAGTCATGTTTAAGTCTATTGTTTCTTTTCTGCTTAGAGGATGTATCCTGTTCTGTCAGTGGGATGTTGAGGTCCTTAGCTATTATGATGTTGTTGTCTATCATTTTGTTTAGCTCAAGTACAGTTTGCTTTATAAATCTGGGTGTCCCTGCGTTGCATTGTTCCCTTCACCATTATATAATGAACATCTTTATCTTTCTTTACTTTTGTTGTTTTGAAGTCTATGTTACCTGCTGTGAGAATGACTACACCAGCTTTCTTGTAGTTTCCATTTGCAAGGAATATTGTTTTCCATCCCTTTACTTTGAGTCTGAATGGGTCTTTGTCAACCAGCCTGTTGTGACCCGTCGGGCTCCTGTGGCCCTGGTCTCGGTTAGCGTAGGAAGGAACCAGGCAAGAAGTGGATTAGAAGTACAAGCTTGTGGAAGGAGGGCTAACCCTTACTTTCCGGTAGCCCCGAGCAACCTCTGCACCAGCCTTTTATTGAGCCAGAACAACACAGGTGAGGGGAGTAATTAACAATGACTACGTGCTGAGGGCACGGGCTCCTCCCACAAGGAACTCCTGTGGAGGAATGGCCGGAGATCCACGCCTCAGCTGCAGATCATCTTGCTTGGATGTTGGCGTCTCCTACACCAGCCTATAGTCTTTTCAGTGGGGAGTGTAAGCCATCTACACTTATCAAAAGAATTGATAAGTAGGGAGGATTTTCTGTTCATTCTGCTATATAGAACTTTATTGCTTTGTTTTTCCTCTAGAGTTATTGTGGTGTCTAGGCTTTGACCTTTAGCTTCTGGGTAGTTTCACACTGGTGGTTGCCTGCTTTGCTGATTTGTGTGTAATGCAGATCTGAGTACATCCTGCAAGGCAGATCTAGTTATGAGAAATTTCCTCAATGTTTGATTGTCAATAAAAGACTTAATTTCTACATTACTCATGAAATTTAGTTTTGCAGGATGCAAAATTCTAGGCTGGCAGTTTTCTTTAAGAGAATCGAAGATGGAGTCCCACTTCCTTCTCTTAAGTTTTGCACTGAGAAGTGGCTGTTCCCTACTGTGTTTTCCTTGTAGTTCAGTTGTTGCTTATATCTAGCTGCTTGTAGAATTTTCTCTTGTCTTTTAACTTGGGCCAGGTTTATTACTTTATGTCTTAAGAGATCTCCTGCTATGCATTTGCTATGCATTTGCTATGACTCTTCCTGGAGTTCAGTGACCGTCTTGTATCTGGTTGTTTAGATCTCTGGAGATACTAAGGAGATTTCCTTCCATAATACCTTCAAATAGATTTCCCATGCTTTTAGTGTTCTCTTATTCTCCCTCAGAGATACCTATAATTCATATTTTTGTTCATTTTACATAATTCCACATCTCTCTAAGCAATTGCTCTGCCTTTGTTTTTCTCTTCTCTTCCTCTAAATGACTGGGTTAGTGCAAGAGCTTTGTCTTCAAACTCTTGAGATTGTTCCTTTTTTTCTTGGTTTAATCCATTGCTGAAATTTTCTGCTGTGTTTTGAAACTCCTTGATGATGCTTTTGTTTCTTTAAGTTCCATTATGTCTGTCCTAATTTTGTCTAGTTAGACTTTTTTGTTAGTTTCTTGAAACTTTTTTTTGGTGCTTTTTGCTGTTTTTCAACTTTCTGTTCAATTCCATTCATCTTACTTACCATCTCTATTCTGAATTCCAATTCTGCCATTTTAACAAATTCTTTACAGTTGGAATTCCCTGTTGTAGCTCCATTGTGATCTCTTGGGGGTGTTGTTATGTTTCTGATTTTTCATGTTGCAGGGGTTCTTTTGCTGATTTCTTCTCATCTGTGACTTCTTTAATCCACTCAGGGCAATAGCTTTGTAGGGCTTGAGTTCCTTACTGGAAACTCTCCTGCTTGATTCAAATAAGAGTTAGTCACCAGACAATGCTCTAGTGGCAGCAGGCTGCAAGCCTCATGGGTTCCATGTCTGTCCACCTTTTCTCTTGCCAGGTGTCAAGTGTCCTTGCAACTCAAAGCTGGATGGTCTCTGGTGGAGCCTTAGACTTGGGGGCAGACTTCTGGCTCTGCTGAGGTGGTGGAAGCTATGGGTAGAGTGTTGGGGTCCAGGTGCAACACTAGAGACTTTGGAATGATGACTCTGGTGGAGCCTTAGACTTGGGGGAAGACTTCTGGCTCTGCTGAGGTGGTGGAAGCTATGGGTAGAGTGTTGGGGTCCAGGTGCAACACTAGAGACTTTGGAATGGTGACTCAGGCCTGATGGGTTTTGGAGGCTCAGAAGCAGAGCCTTGACTTCCTGTGTGAGGGCCTTAGGGACAGGGAGGAGCCAGATGCAGCAGAGTTTCTGAGCAGAGCCAAGAATCCAGAAGTAGGACTAAGGGGAAGGTGTGGCTGCTCTGACCTGGAGGGTGGGGTGGGGGCCGAGCATGCTGGAGGCAATTTGGCCTGGAAGACAGATACTGAGTTGGGTAAGCAGCAGGCCATTCTGCAGCTTCAGGGCCATACAGATGCCAAGTCAGGCAGGCTGATGTCAGCACCAGCAACCCTGGGATTGCAGAACTCTCCTCACCCCTGGGACCTGCTGAAGTGAAGCCATAGCCTGCCACCTAGGTCAGAGAGCCTGCTGTACCTGCCCAAGTCAGGTCCTATGCTCAGATTTCCTTGCACACTGTGGGGGAAGCACTCAGTCTCAGGTCCTGGTGTAGGCTTTGTGTGATGCTCCTAAGAACTCAGGACAGCTTTAGCTGCTGTCCAATTCCCATTACACCTGCTGTCTGTGCCATGGCTTTGCACAGAAACATGGATCTGTATGTTGACCAGTCTCTTACAGTCCCTTGGGTGGTCAACTTACAGGGACTCCACTGTATTTAGAAGTACACTATACTATCTAATATAGTAACCACATGTAACTATTTAAAGTAAAATTAAACTTGCATAAAATTAAAAATTTAGTTTCTCAGTCACCCCAGCCATATTTCAGGTGGTCAGTAGCCAGAGATGGCTTGTGCCATATTAGACCACACTGACACAGAACATTTTCATCATCATAGAAAGCTGTATGGGCAGCACTGATCTGCCAACTACTAGAATGTAGTTGTCAAGCAGTGGTGATTTTGCCCCACAGGGGTCATTTGGCAATGTCTGGAGACATTTTTATATGTTTTTATGGTTTTATATGGTTTTGTAGCTAGGAATACAGTGTGTTCTAGTAGGTAGAAGCCAGGGATGCTAGTCAACATTCCATAATGCACAGATCCCTGCCCCAAAGAGTCATCTGGCCCCAAGTGTCAGTGGTCCTCACAGTAGGAAGCCTTGCTGTGGAGTACATTTTTTTTGAGTTGTGAGATGGGGAGCTTATGCTTTTTGCCTCTGACTAACCAATTGACCAAACACCCTTAAGGTCACTACCTTAAGCTGGAGATGTTTCTTTCTTGGATGGTAGAGAAGATCCTACTGCCTGTTTATTAAGATATGATTTTTAAAAATTTACTTTGATTGTTTTACAGATTCTTAGACTCTGTGTGTAAAGATATACTGTCTTCCTGGTTCATCATGGCGTCAACCTCAAGGTAGGAGTGCTGTTTGATAAAATGCTTCATGGATATATTCACTCTACTATGTTTTTGAAAGGCCAACTCTATGACAAGATTAGCCCTTAGTCCTGCTAGCCTTTGTAAAAGGTTGGTGTTCAGAAAGCATCATAGAGGAAGGGAAAGAAGAAAGATGATACAAGAACAGAGAAAGACTAGGACAGACAGGGGACTGTGTGTAGTATGGGTGTGGTCATGTAGCACCAGCACTTAACATAAAAACATGACTTCACTTTCTTTGTCTTTCAAGAATAGGACACCAGACAGTTGCCTGTGGGACACCAGAATCTTTGTAGGCCTTCCCATTCCAGGATTCAGCAAGCCACGTGTAGGCCAAGGTCTGCCCCTGCAAAGAGGGTGAAACTGGGGCAGGGAGGCATGAAGATAGCTGCTGTCCCCTGAGGACCCAGCTCCATCTAGGGCTTACAGGCAGGACTTTGGGTCTCTTCTTTCTCTAAGTTGGCCTCTCTTGGTGTCCTGGGCAGATTTCAGATCGGTGACCTGGTTTCCTAGAGGTTAGTGTGAGGGCTGGGGGTGTCATTAAACCAGAAAGTGAGGTTGGGGTGAGTCTCTAATGCAACCTAAATTCCACAGTCCATGGGAAAGCCTGCCCTGAAGTAGTCTCTGTAGTTCACTCTTACTTTCTTTTGGGTAGAGGGTCCTCATATTGAGTTAGGGGCCTGGAGAGGGAACAGGACAGCAAATGAGCATCTCTGCCTGACTTTCATTCCCATAGCCAAAGCAATATTTTGACAGCCTAGATCTGACTCTGTACTGCACTGATCTGTCATCCCTGGGGTTTTCTATGACAGCTGAGCACCACTGGATGTTCTGGACAGGCCTCTGAAGTCCTGTGGTGTTCTGCTTCCCTCCACCTCCACTCTGCTCTGCTATCCTCCTTGCAGCCTTGTCATTCTGCAGATATTGAGTCCCTTCTGCTTCAGAGCCTTGAGTCTATATTGTGTCGTCCTGGGACATCCTGTCCCCATCTATCTGAATGGCTCACTGCCTGACGTCATTCAGACCCCTGCCTGTCTGTTGTGCTCAGATTCACGGGTGGTCGGAGACACAGAGAATAGGCTTGCAATTGGAATAGTATAGAGACAAAGATGACTACCACCTTAAGATGGTAGTCAGAGATGGCTTGTGCCATATTAGTAAACTTCTTTATTCCTTGCTGGTTTAAATGACCAGCTCTGCACGTACACACTGTCAATTAATAATCCTTCCATTACTTTAGTGACATATAGTAAAAAACAAATTACCCTTTACTTAGTGCCTGCTAGTCTACTGATCACAACAATACTCATTCTTTCACATCATCCATTATACTAAAAATACCAATCAAGGAAAAACATGTTGTTGACTTTCTGGTCTGATTCTTGATAGGTAGGGAAACTCCTTC